AAATGATTTGAGAACAGTCATGACTGGAAAGATGAAATGCCTCTCTTCTGCTCGTTCAGTTTCTCCTAATGCTGCATTCATCAAGTCCCCAGCACACTCCATGGCTACTTTTTCCTTATTCTTAATTGCCATCTGTAGTTTCAGGCTAGCAACATTCATACTCCTATGAGAAAATCCAGGCCAACCACTAGGAAGAACATTTGTAGCAATACTAGCACACACCACTGTAGCTGTTCCTACATGCTAGCTCATAACGTCTGCCATAGAGTTTGCTAATGGTTTGCTTTGCCAGGTCCAGTCTTCCCCTCTAGTGAAGCTGCATGTTCTTGCTGGAAAGATGGCATCAGCGAGAGGCATGGAGTTCCACCAGCAAGTTTCCAGCCAGTATGGTGGAGCATCCTACTCAGATATTTCCATGTTGAAGAAAGGATGATTTTGTTGAAGCAGTTTTGCTTATGTTACAGACAGGATTTACCTCAATAAAAGTCAGAACACTAAAGAAAAGCTGGTTGGGATTTCTAAAGGTCAGAAAATCCATTCTGATCCTCGTCAACACATGACTCAACACAGCAACAAATGAGGTCAGCAGGGACCTTATCCAGACTAGTCCTAAAACTCAGGATGGCACAGCATGTCATTTCAGCACATCTTACTCCTGAGCAGCATGAACTGCCTACACAAGAGGGTCTTTCCAAATCTCTGGTCTGAACCAGCCAAGCCACAGTCCATGACCCTGCTTACCATCTGTCACAAGCAACAAGATTGCTGGCTCCTTTGTCCAGCAATTCCTTCAGGAAGCTGGGATGGGTTTGTATGCAAACTGATGCTAATGAAGGTGCACAAGCCTTAAAAAGATTTATCTGTTAACTGAAAACCAACCTTTTTTCTTTCCAGAAAAAAACTCTTCTTCAATCCAATACAGCATGTAACCCTAGTCTTCACCCCAAGTCACAAAGGACTCCTTTCACTGTAACAGAAACATTCAGAAGAAGAACACATCCCATCTGTAGCTTCCTATATCTTTGCAAAAATTTCCAGATAAAGTTAGAAGGCTTTAACATTTTTTTTTATCATCGCCTGCTTTCAAACAGTCCTATCCTGTCCTCTTCTATGAATTCACATTGAAGGGTTTCAGCTTGCCCAGCAGCAGTATTTATATTTTTTAATATTTATATATGGGGTTTTTTTGTGCAGAACAGAGGCTTGATAATACAGAGATATTTGTGTTACTGCTGAGCCAGACTTACACAGAACCAAGGCCTTTTCTGCTTTTCATACTGCCACGCTAGCAAGGAAGCGGGGGGTGGCATGGGAGGCTGGGAGGAGACACAGGTAGGGCAGGTGACCCCAAATGATAATGCCATATAACATTATGCTCAGTACATAAAGTGGGGGGAAGAAGGAGGAAAGGGAGATATTTGGAGTGATGGCATTTGTCTTCCCAAGTCAACGTTATGTGTGATGGTCCTGCACCACTGCAGATGGCTGAACACCTGCCTGCCCATGGGAAGTGGTGACTTAATTCCTTAGTTTTCTTTGTTTGTGTGCACAGATTTTGCTTCCTGTAAGAAACTATCTTTATCTCACCCCACAGGTTTTCTAGCTTCTACCCATGTGATTTTCTACCCCAATCCCTCTGGTGGAAGAGTGAGGGAGTGGCTGTATAGTGCTTGGTTGCAGGCTGGGGCTTCATATCTTCAAAGCTGAAGCCATCTTTTAACTGGGTAATTCTAATGATTCAAATGCATTATGGGTGAACTCTGTATCACAGTAGCTTGTGCATTTCCTGAGCTCATAAGAATGCAAACAATTCTCTTAATGATAATGTAATCTGAGCTAGCTTCCTATGCACATATATGCTGTAACCAGCATGTATTTGAAAGCATATATAGTGATGAATGAAAATACACCTTGCCATATACAGCAAGGTATAGTATTAACTCCTAACAGCTTTTGGCTCTAACATGCTACAAATTTAAGAAAAGTGTGTAAGCCACTTTATGTAGCAAAGGGTCCTGTGTCCAACTATGTCTAAAAGCAGGGCAATGATGGAAGAACAAGACAAGTACAGAGTGGCATTTTGCTGATACATTACTGCAGCTTTCAGAATTTGTATTTGCCATTTCACTACTATATACAGTCTCAGCATTTACAGTATCCCAAACAGTAAAATCCACAGATGAATCACACACTTCATGAAAGCATACCTCCTTGTTTGTTACTTTCATTGCTCTGACTAGTTTAAAAGGATTAGCAAGCATTATCATCTTGCTATTCAATTCTAATAGGTTATTTCACAAATAATTTTTGAATATGCTAAATACCACTAGCACTTGCACAGCTTTCTCCACCACCAAAACCAACTCTTTATACCTTTTCTCTGTTGACTATCTTTTAATTAGGTAGTAGTACTCAGGGCACCATTTCTTTCAGATCTGGGCAACTAACTTTCTTAGTGAAAAAGTCTTTTGCCAGCCAAAGTAGACAATCTTAACCAAACCACCCTATCCACAGGTCCAGTGACATTTTCAAAGAGCTGCAGCAGACCTGAGAGATAGAACTTATCACTGCCTTCCTATAAACATCCTGTTTATTTCAATTCAGTGTATCTGTACAGCATTAATTGCATCCTTTCTGAAAATAAGTCCACCAAATTTAGGTGATTATTTAGACAAAGGTATTAAGATAACCTTGCTGACAGTGAAGTCAAATGTTTTGTGCAGATAGTAATAAATGAGTCATGTTTTTTGCTCTTTCAAAAAAAAATTGTTTTCTGCACACACTTATCATAATCAAGAATAATGTGGAAAAATTGTGATAGGATTATTTTGCATGAAACACATGGGGCTGGAAAAATTCAAGACAGCACTTGTTTAAAATCAGAATCCATAGCATGTTTCTTGGTAATTTTATATGCAATAATAACGGGAATTTGTTTTTGTAAGAGATATTCATTGTGCTGTTTCTTAATAACTGAAGCCTGTTTACTCAGTGACAACCTGAAGTCCTTTTTGAAATAAAGCAAATTTGAGAGCATTTGTTGAATATTTTGCTATACAAATCTAGAAACTGTATTTGAATATCCTGAGATCTTATGACAGGTGGGACTTATAAATAGCCAAGATAATATAAATAACAACTGTAAAAATAAACAGCCTAATGGTCCAATCCCAACTGCAGCTCTTACTGCAATGATTACTATACACTGACTGACAAGTTTTAGGATTTGTCTCTTGCTATTTATTCCTCAACTGTGGCACAAAATGCTTCACTAGCTTCTCTAATCCACACAGACACTGATCTAGTTCTCAACAGATTTTGCTCAACACAAAAACTGAGTCAAATATCCAGACTAACTGCAGTCAAACCTTGGGCTCTGCAGCCTGCAACCTAACCTGCTCCCAGCCAATCCCCCAAAACATTCATGCAGATTTCAGTCCTGTCTGGAGAAGTCTGTAACTTCTCAGACTTGACTCTGGTTCAGTTTTGTCTCTAAGTACTGTTACAGCATGCTGTAGATCGTTATAAAACATGTTTGTAACTATTATTTCTTCTATTTTTGTTGTTTTGTTTGGGTTGTTTCTTTTTTGTCTTTCTCTCTCCTGACCTGAAAGCAAAGCACTTCACAGATTCTCCATCAAATAGCAAAATCTCTGGCATAAAACTAAATAACTCTCATCAGCATTTCCATCTCTAAAAATACTGGGGAAAAAAAAGGGAAACAGAAGTTATGTGATGTTCACCTTTAGTGTGATTTACCCTCAAATTGAGTACATGTCCAGGCAAAACAATAGGCTTTTTCCTAGGATCACCAGTATTATGAATTACTCAAGACCCCAGGCAGGAATGAATAAATAAAATTTAATTAGAACCCATTAAAATTAAAAAGCAAAGCGGGATGACAGTGCTGGGAGCATAGTGAGACTCCTGCTCACCAGAGGCTCAGCTTACAAAGCAGCGTCTCCACCTTTTTATACATCCAAGAGTGCATCAGCCTCATTAATATTTATTAGCTGTCCTTATATGGCCTTCCATGCCTTTCATTGATGGAGCTCTTCTCGCATCTTGATTGGTGGTGTGATGATACCCTGCCAGGCCTCCCAGCAACAAGTGTCCCCCACTCCCCACCATCTCCCACAAGGCACAAGCAAAAGCCTTCCCCACATGCCCCAACAGTCCTGTCCATCAGAGCTGCCAGGCAGACACCTCAGAGGGCAAGGAGGATTGAAGGGAGAACAGAAAAGGGTTCAAACTCACACTGGAACAACAAAACATATAAGTCAAAAGAATCGCCAATCCCAAAAGAACTTCTCCCCACCACACTCAACAATTCCTACTCATTTGCATGAGCCAACCACCACACCTTACTCATAACACCAGTCACAAGAGACAGAACATAAACTTCAACTCTGGTCTATTTGATTAGTTTTATTATCCCAGACGAAACTGAAATCAGACGCTCATCCCCAAGTTGCAACAAGAAAAATCTGAAAGGTCAAGTATTTAGAAGAGTTTGCAAAACTGCAAGTTGAGAAACAGAAAGCAATAGTTTGAAGATAATTTGCCATGTTCAGAGGGGTTTTTTGAAACCTTACGTGTGACAGAACAAACTACTTTTCTGCAGGCAGTTTTACTCCTACCATGTCATGAACAGTGTTTTATTCTCTTTGAAAAATTATGTGTTCCACACTGATACTTGATTTGACCATGCATCTTTACTTTCTTTGTCTCTCTCTGCTATTCTCTTTATTTTCTCTATTTTTGTCCATTGTGACTGTTAAGGTGAAGGTGTCTTGCACTTTATGTGACCAGAGCCCACCATCACAAGAGTTCAGATTCTGTGAACATCTCAAGACCTTTTGTACTAAAGGTGACATCACTTTCACCTTTAGTCTGGATCTAAAACATCTCTGTTTGTATTTTGACTTTCCAATACCATTCCACATAGAATGAATGGCATACTACTGTGCAAGAAAGAAAATAAAAGTTCATCTACTCACCTTGATAGCAATAATTTACCCTGAAGTTTCAAATCAGCAGCACAGTCATCAGATTGACAGTTCCTCTCAAAAACAGTCTGTGAAAAACAGAGGAAAGAACAGTTAAAACATGAAAAGAGTAAGATGAAAATTCAAAGAAGGAACATGCTTGGTGAAATAAAAACAAGACCAAAATCTGTGATACAGGGATATATGGTGTGAGTGTTAAAGAAATTCAAGTTGAGGCAAATCTTATCTTTGTCAGAACTGGTTTTGTTATCTTCTAACTGAACAAGAAGTTTCATCAAATCCAAACTCTCTCTCAGAGGTTTTCCTCAATCCACTCTCTCTTCTCATCTGACAAGAGTAATTGCTAATACCATATTTCTGGCATTCTTTGTCTTCCCCAGCTATGTGGATAAAAAATGAAACAGAATATTAAGTATTTATTAAACTATTTTCAGTCCTAAGGATTGCAAGTAAGGAAATCATACAGCAAACATTTTCCCTAGATTTTATATATGGCAGGAAACATTTCTGCCATCATGCAAGCAGTAGAAAATTACAAGGACTGTTATGTATCAGTCTCAAATAATGGAGCCATTGTCAAGCTTGTGAACTCTGGTAATACTGAGGAGATGTAACAGATTGATAAAGCTAGGAACTATGAAGGGACAACATATGGGCATACTATTTAAATGGCAGTAGTTTACCATGGCTAAACAAGACAGCCACCAGAAAGTGAAAGAAGACAACAGGAACATGCTCCTTGCATCAAAGAAATCAAGATGCCATTTAGACTGTTGTTACTTTCCCCTGCTGTTTAGACCACAGACCAATACCCTTCTAAACACAGGGCTAGACTTTTCAGACTGGAGGACTCATTCTTTCAGAGGTGTAATGCTCTTCAGCCTACCAAATATTCAAATACCCAATATGAGTGTTGCCAACACTGTTCAGCTAGGAAACCTGACAATCCACTTATCTCTTCCTTTAAAATGAATGTTCATTTCTATAGGCTTCATAACTTTTATACCAAAGTAAATATATTTCAATCATAAACACAAGGACAGGGAAAATCTGTGCAGGATACACGTAATGGTCAGATTGGGTTGGAGAGACTTGAGAAAGAAAAAAAATTACAACCATACTGAGTTAGTACATTTTTTAAGAGCTCTGCCCAACTGTATCAGAACTGGGAAAAGACTTGAATCTTAAGCCCAGAGGGCATAAGAGGACACTTCTAGTCCTTTTCTTTCTAGGAAGGTTCTTGACTGAGCAGGCAGTTTGTTCTCCTTTTTCTATGCTGTGTGAGCTCACCAAAAAGGAGTGGATGTTTATGAAGTTAATTGTTGTGATGCCAAAATTAATTTTGCCTTTTTGCTTTTATATTTCCTTAAAATATATTCATAGCTCTATTGTTGTATAACTATATAGTTCCTAGCTAGGCCCAGTACCTTTCCCAACGTTTTTCCCTGATAGGCAGAAGGACAAAATACATTCCAGAGGCTCCAAGCCCAGGGGTCCAGGTTCTTCCTAGGAGCCAAGGTTGAAAACAGCTCTTCAAGACACATTTTCATTTAAAAAGTTTAGTTCCTATCTAAGGGCAGGGAGGATTTAGAAAAAGGTTGAACCAAGCGAGAACTACTTTACTACTTCTCTCTCTAATTGGAGATTTTTGTTAGCTATGCTAATTTGCTAAACCTATAAAACCGTTTTTACTCTGTGTGGGGGTGGGCATTTTCTATATCTGCTCCTGGAGGCCTCCAGTGAAGATCAGCCTTTATATTACCTCCTACACTAATGTTGTCTTGAAAGTGTGTTGTTTTATTTCTAGGTTCTTTAAGGTGTCAGTTTGATAACAGATATCAAATTATGCTGTTTCAAAAGAAGAAAGATGGAAGGTGGCCAGCTGATCCGAGCTATTTACTTTGCTCTTTCATTTTTCTTCCCTTCCTTTTGCTTTCTCAGAATCTCAGAAGTGAAATTTTTTAGGGATTTAGAAATGAAGACTGAATTTACCCTTTGTCCTTAAAAAAGACTACCACAACCAAAGGTCAAGAACAAATCATGAGACAGGAATTGGCATTAGGCTTCCCTCTCAAACATGGCACATTTCAGAGGTATAGTTTCAAAAGTCCTCAGAATTAATCCTCAAACCACTGTAATAGTTTCACATAGGAAAGACTGATGGTAACTCTCAGAGGAGAAAGAATAATAAACTGTAAAAAAATTCTAGCCTGTCAATTTCTCTGTTTGAATTGCAGAAATCTTGGCAAAGTGCACACAGCAATCAAAGAAATTATCTGGATTTTTCAAAGTACAAAATATTGTAAGTACATTTAAGTAACTATCTAATAATCCTGGAATTTTCTTACTAAATCTATAGTTACCCTTACTCAGAAAGAATGAACTAATACTTCATTTTCTAAAATTGCTGAGAATGTATCTCTTCCAGCATATCATGTACTAGAGAGCAAGCTACTTTGAAATACATTGGTAGTGCTTCCTTGTCATTGATACCCAGGTTACTACACAACACTGGGTTGGGAGAAAGAAATTAAGGGTGGTGAGCATCAAGATCTGTAGCTGTGTAGGAGTGAACGGTTTTCTTCTGTGAAGGATCTTGAACCTGTTTGGGTTTGGGGGAGCTCTCTCACCTCAAAACAGCTGGCTGGTCTGGATTTCCAGTCCAAGAGGTTCCTAGGATCCACAGATGCAGGCACAACTGATTCAGCAGCCCAGTTAATGACATCTGTGAACTATTTTGCTATTTTCCACTAGTTCCCTGGTCTACCTGGACTCTACTCCACCTTCCCTTTTTATATGTCTTCTAGAGTCTTGAGCCTCCAGCTCCTCACAGTCTATTTCCTCCATTTTCTTCTCTGCTAACATGAGCCTTTTCTTCCCCACCCTTTTGATACTTCTACCTTTCACATTGACTAATTCCTGGCTGTTTAAATTCCTCCCAAACAATTAAGAAGTAAATACACTTTAAAGCACCATAGCATTTACGAACACTACATGTATATTTTTACTGTGCCCTTACTTGGTCTACTTGAGCTGCAATTTCTTTGGGTCAGAAACTGTACCTAACTTAACACTGCATGTTGTTAGAGCAGGAATCCATTCCTGGGATATGGTGCAGACCCTACCACAACATTACCACTAATTTTAACTCCAAGCATTCTTTAAATTGGTTGCAGCTTTACAATACCAGCTTTGAGGATTTATAGAGGTCTTTAAATATTAAAATTGTTGAAGAAGGTAATCTATGGGTTGTATATGTTATTCAAAATTAAAAAAGGAAGTAGGATGAAACTAACTGTTTCAGCTCATAATAAGCATAATGAGCTCATAAGCAGTTCATAATTTTTGCCGTTACTGTTACCCAGGGTGAAGAGGAGCAATTCTGAACAGTGGTTTTATGAAATTTAATTGTATTCCACTAACACTGTACCAAATACCTCACAGGTTTGAATGTATATAAAGATGGCCAGGAAGCTTCCTTACATAAGAAATACATACATAAATTGAGGAGTATGAGATGAGGGGTGGAGATCAGGGCAAAAATTGCCATGAGAAACAAAGCTGCGTCCCTTATCTCAAGGCCACCACACAGTTGTCTAGCATTTCCACGAGAAAAATAGGTGTTTGTGTGCCCAGTAACAGGGACAGGATAACCTCAATGCTTCTAGGACACATCATCACTGTATAAAACACAAAACTAGTGTAAAGTTCATTCTCAGTGAGTCTCTCAGACTTCCTACTATCACCAGATGTTCAGCAAAGAAGAGACAAAACCTACCATTTCCAGGGTTCATATTCCTCTCTGCACTCTCTACTGCTGCACAGAACCCAGAAGCTTTGGGAAATTATTCCAGAGCAGGTCACTCCCTCCAAGTCTCCAAATCTTGTTGACAAACACAGTTTTCTCAAATTCTGTGTGGCAACTTTACTGAGTAAAAAAGATTATGCTTCTTGGGACATCCAGTAATGTGACAGATATCTCCCTGAGAGGTTAGGAAAGATGGATGGCACCCACGTCCTCCAGAGGGTAAGCCAAAAAGCCTACATTAAAGTACACTCATTATAAAAAGTGAATATACACATCTGTACACAATCAAACCTATCGTAAGGAGAGATCTAGACCTGATCAGGAAGGGAATGTGTCTACATAGGTAGATCAGAGCAAGTATCTTTTGTCCATTATGTCTCTTGAAGAGAAGCGTAAGGACTAAATTCCACATTTTGTGGTAAAGGCTAGGGGTAAATGTAGGAGAAAGTAGGAGAGCGATAGATCTCTAGTTCCTGCCTCCTAAGCCATCCTAAGCATAAAGCTGCTGGGTACTGGACATGTAGATATTCTCCTTTTCCTTCTTGCTGGTAGTGGACTCTACTGAAAGCTGATAGGAGGTAAAACAAGTAAGAAGGAGCCTGGCTCCAGCCTAATGATCAGAGTTTTGTGCTCTGAGGAAGGTGATCTATGATTTCATACCAGGCTTACTAAACTGCTTCACTTCCTTTCAATGGCTGTCTAAAATTAAACAAATATATGTTTCTGGAACTACTTCCAGAAGGCAACAGGGAACATAAAAAATAAAGTATATCCTGTGCCACTCCAGTCCACAGAAAATACTGGAAATCTTTCAATAAATTAAGGGGGGGAAAAACAGCTTTTCAAAATATCCAACCTGCCAAAATTCAGGAAAGCACATGGAAATTTCAGGTTGTTGCCAAACTGAACTATCAAGAGTTTGAGAGATTTCCAGCTCTATTCTAGTAAGAGTTCTGCCTATGCTTTCACAGAAAGGGAAAGCAACAGCTGAAGGTCAGTATTTGAAGAGAAGGGAGAGAAACAGAATTCTCAAAAGTACCCTTGAAAACATGTCATTTTATGGACTGGATAAGAGAACAGTGATTCACTCTAGATCAGACATTTAACAACTTCCTCACACATCAGTCTACAAAAGGTTCAGATGGCGTCCCTTAAAAAATGGCAGAGCTGGCCTTTGGTATTTGTGGATCTATTCCTTTAATTTCATAAACTGTGCCATGGACTTCTGCAGGAATACCTACGCTATGCAAAATAATCAGG